TCCATTGGTAAATAGCAAATTTAATTCAAATGTTGAGACTCACTATATGTTTATCCTTCAATTATATATATATATATATATATATATATATAAACGGTGTGAATCTCGGGTGGTATTATTATAAAGAATTAAGATGAAAAAAAATTAAATAAATATCCCTTCTCAGATGATATGGGATTCTACATCTATTTTCTTGCGTACGCAACGTCCTTATTAGAACACTTTTGCTCTAAGTATTGAGCTATAATAATATTCTATACCGATCAATCAAATATATATGATATTGTTATGTTCTATGTTTTGCTTTCACATGAAGAATGTCTAGATAGTACTCATAATAGTTTGCACAATCTTAGATACATGATATTTGAAAATCATGCTAGCCTTACTTATTTCAAACTTCTAAAAAATTCTATATTGTGCTTAAAATACGTTTTGCACTAAATAAGCACTCTTGAGTAATCAGATATGACGTTAGTACATACAATTTGATAGGAACTCTTGCGTATTTTTAATGAAGAACTTTAGCCTCGATTGCCCACAAATTAATTAAATATCAGTAAATTCTTTAGATAACATCTCGCCAAGTCAAATCATTATTTTCGTGTCTTCCACATCATATTTTCCATAAGTATTCGTAAAGGAATAATTTGTACAAACATGCTTGACAATAGTGTAAGTGTAAAAAAAGTGTTAATGGGAAATATGGAGTATTTTTCAAACTGTCTAATGATAACCTACCACGCAGCATATTATCAAAATTATTAGAAAAATCATTGTACTAACAAACTTGATTCATTCATAAATCAAAATGAATATTGGTATAAAGAAAAAAGAAGAAATAATTGCAGCAGCGTCCCGGATGTAGTCCCTTAAAGTATGAGTTGACGTGACCCAAATACACACACTCTCTTCTGTCTGTTGGAAGGAAACCAGTGTGTGTATGGTAGCATGTGATATACAAGGCAGGGGTAGTATACAGACTCTACCTTGACTCTATAATAGTGTAGAGACAAGGCTATTGAACAAATTAATGTTTATTTGATTCCTTCACACGTTATCTTCTTCAACTCCTCGTTTTTTACCGTTTGATAGATGAAGTAACATAACTTGATTGGACAAGATGCGATTGGATGAAAAAGTTTATTGTATTTAAAATAGTCAGATAATAAAGTCTCATATGATATTATGTTAATTATTATGTA